CGGCCTGCGAGGGTTAATTGATCCGACGTGTCTGTTCAAAGGCGCCTCGCGATGCCCCGTGCACCACACCCGATATCGGGACATTCCGCGTATCCCGATGAGGTGTCGAAGGCGCTGGGAGTAGGATGAGAGTGAGAAGTCGGCGGTTAGGAGGCTCAAGGGTGGTCAAGGCCAGCGTAGACGCATATTTCGGAGGCACCAAAGAGGAGATGCATAGCAACGAGAGAAATTGGGCTGAAATCCGCCTAACAATGGAGGAACGGCAACGGGAGGAGCGATCGAACAGAGATATAACACAAATGAAAGTGCTTGGCAATGCGCTTGGTTGGAAAAAAAAAACCCCCCGCGCAAGATAATCTGAGATGATGCCTGAGGGTGGCTATTTAGCACCGGAACAAGACAATGACATAGAGCAAGGAGACAACGCGGGCCAAAGTCCAGCGTGGTGGCGGGAGCAAGAAGGGCGTCAAGAGGGGTTGTACCACAAGAGCCTTTAGGGATGTGCTTTCCAGAACATGGACGACTGCTATTTTGACGAGGTTACAGCAAGGGAGATAACATGTAGCAATGGATAGGCGGCGAAGACTGGGCGGTTGTTGTGGGAAGAAGCAAGAGGCGTGTGGCTGTGTTGCCACCGGATCAATTCGTGATCTCGCTCTTGCTTCCTACCACCATCTTGCCACCATCGTCGTTTTGTGCGCCACTCGCTTGCCAACCTCAGCCGGGCGGCGTTCACTTGGTGGCAGCCTATCTCCCGTGATACCACTCTGGCTGAACGCTTTCCTGCTCTGGACGGATGCGTCCCAATACCCATCTTGACTCTGGCACTCAAGTTTCAGCCTGTAACGCTCGTCTTGTTTCAACCACGATACGGAGGCGAGCATAATACTTCAACACCCATTCCCCTAACTAGTGCTACCTTTGTTCTCCGTAACCCATTCGCACTGACCCAAATTGCGACTATGCCTGTGATGTTGGAGACTCAAGGAGAGTACTGATCGCGATCCAAGTCATCGACGAGGTCTTCCTCGACACTGAAAAGTCCATCTATAGTTTACCGTCCAATCTCAAGGTTCAAGCCATCGGATGTGGTGTACCGTGCACCAGGAGCTTATCTAGATCACTGACCAGCCACAATGCAACTCGCAGGCCGGGGTTCGACTCCCTGCGTCCGAATCAAAGATCTGCGCCACTGACTTTTGGCCCTTCACTATGCCCCCAGGGTTCCAACAGGGTTCCCTTTGAGATCCACCCGGCTTCCCGCGCGCAGTTGCGTACGTCTCAAACGACAAGGAACTTTGTGTGTTAGATTTTTACGCTCATTCAATCGAGGATCCACAAGACCGTTCGCATCCATTGCTACTCTGCATATGGGGTGGTAAACGAGCCTAGGTGTGGTGTACGCTGCACTACTTGTTCAAGAGGTATCTCAGTCCCTCTCCGGGGTTCGACTCCCTGCCTCCGAATATCGATTCTCTGAGACTTTTCGCCTTCTTGCCTTACTTTGTCGCCGCTTACCGCTCATCGTGGAGGCAGATTAAATGTTGCGCTGTATTTTTCCCTGGCGCGCGCGTCACCTCCTTTCCGGATATGACAGAGGACCGAACTCCAGGTGATACCTGAGCACGCCAACTGCATATCTTCTCACTCGCAAGTTTCACTCGTGTTTTCGTGCGTCAATTCCCATTTCTTCGCCTAAACTTCACCCATACATTCAGAGAAGAATCTATCGGACGTGGTGTACGATACACCACGGGACTCGTTATGATAGTCGGCGACGATTCACCTGCTGTCCGGGGTTCGACTCCCCGCGTCCGAATTGCTAAGCTCTAAGTCTTTTTTCCTTGGTGTAAGATCACATTCCTCGGGCTTGCTCCATTCACCTGACCTTCTGGTTGCAGGTGGATTACGCCTCCCAGTGCCCTCCGTCGAAAATTGAAGCCACGCGAGCTCATACGCCCCCCGCAGAGGCCAGTGCTCACTTTTGAGCCACACTGAGTCACCTTCACTGAATCACTTCACAAGGGCTCCGCGTGCTCCATCTTGTCCGTGAGTCGGTTGACCCGCTACAAATCATCATCTCGCTTTCCCACCCAGTGTTCTACATAGCGATCCAGTCCGTCGTGGTCAAATCGCGCGCATATTTTTCGGAACCCTCGACAGGAAACATCGAGTCTCGTTTACATGTTATCCCCGCGTCCGATTCTTATGCAAGCTGGGGGCGACTCCCCGCGCTCCAATAGCTGGGTGTCAGCAAAAATGGCCAGCGTTATGCGTTACGGTTGCCTGCATACACGCCGGTACAGTATAGCAGGAACAAAAAGAATACCGTTGCTCCTTGGAATGGACACGGAGAGTCGAACCCCGAACTGCGAGAGAAACTGATGCACCATCATGAATGCTCGCTGTGCCCCGTACACCGCGCCCGTGTACTTTCCCAGAGTTGGATCGGGTCATGAGAAAACATGCGTGTATATAAATATGACAAGAACAGAAATAATAGGAGACCAATATCCAGTTCAGCTTCGAGTCAACTCCAAGAGCGACTTGGGCTGTTCAACGCGTGGACTCGGTCCACCTCGCAAATTTAAAACGCAGGCGTAGTGTCATTTCAGGAGGGGCACCAGTATAGTATGTAGCCGGAACGAAAAAAAATACCGTTGCTCCTTGGAAATCGGACACGGGGAGTCGAACCCCGAACTGCGAGAGAAACTGTGGATGCACATGATCAATGCTCGCTGTGTCCCGTACACCGCGCCCGTTTACTTCCCCAGAGTCGGATGGGGACTTGGGAAAGCAACTGTCTGTACAAAACATGGGCAGCGTCGCGTCCGAGACATATATAAAGATAATGCTCCAGTTTCCCAGTTCGAGACAAATTCCCCCCGGCGAATTGGGATCTAGTTCAACGCCGCCATAATGATTCATACTCTAACAGAATCGTTCCTAGAGCCAGTCCATATTATGTCTTTCAGCACCCGGCATCTTTACTTGAAGCCACCCTCGAGCGGCCCACTCCCCGCACGAAATCCCCACCTTAATGCTCCCCCACGGATTCCTCGTCGGTCCAAGCGTAGGGTGCAAGCTCGCAGCTGCGGCGCGCAGCACTTGCGCCTCGGCTTCTGCTGCTTCATGATTATATGCCTAAAATACAAGTTAATCATCACGCGTCAATGATCACAGCGTTAATGGCCATGGCGAAGCAGTGAAGGGACGTACGGTGAAAAGCACAGGGATTTTGCGATCAAGGAGGAGCTTGAGGGTCGCGGGCCACGTTTGCGCTGACTCCTGTGAGGCGCTGGAGTTGAAGGCGATAGCGAGATCGGGTTTTTCAAATTTTTGCCTTTGTTTTGGACGTAGCCGTGGTACGTACTACGAAGGACTTGAACCGGAAGTCAACCACGGGTGACGAGATCTAGTCATGACCGACAAGTATGAATCTCGAGTACGGAAGCTGGTCGCTCTGTTTATCTCGCACAGGCTTGCGAAAAGAAAAAAGGAATTCGTTCACCAGGATCCACCAAAAAAGCGAACTGCGCAAGGTTATTCGGACGGCGAGTCGAACGTTGAACCCAGGCCAGAGGGTACCACAGATTGCTTTGAACAGTGTACCCCACGTCCGATGACTGCCGCTAGTGCAGCGATAAATCAGTATGAGCTGGGCGTAATTGTCGATTCAATTACGACGGAGAATGGAAATTATCAGAAGAACGGACACAGAGAAATAGTATGCACTCACGAACCGATCATACGGACGTGGTGAGTCGAACCCCGGATTAATATTGAGAACGGCATGGAATGCGTACCGTGGGTATACGAGTTCTCTGTGCTCCGTACACCACACCCGACACTGCGGCATACATAAGTATGACGCGGGGAGTCACTGCGGTATAAGTATGAATTGCGCGTAATCTTGAATGGAACTCACGCAACAGATCAATTCGGAATTTTGCATCAGATATTTCTGGCTCTCGTTAATTCAGAGGGACGTACCGATGGACTGATGAGAGTGAAAAAAGATTGCCAATGGCCCTGACATTCGGACGCGGGGATTCGAACCCCGACCTGCGAGTAAATGATCATCCGCTAGGAATACCTACGGCGACTCGCGGTGCCCGTACACCACATCCGATATGTTACCATACAGCTTGTCCGAGAGACGGAAGCGCAAAAGGGTAGAGGAGAGTTGGGCAGGAAAGCGAAAGTAGCCAGGATGATCCCGCACAAGAGCGACTCGGAGTTTTGAATTTTCCAGCGAGGACTCAGTACACCGCGAGATGAAGGCGGACTGTCGTGGAACCAGTGCTGCAGTTGGATCGAGCGACTGTTTGGCTAGAATTAGCGGAAAGAGACATGGCAGGCAGCCATGGATGGTGACCGGTGACCGGTGAAGAGCCGGTTCTTATGCACTCCGGAAAAAGGCAAATTTTGGGGTCCCTGAAGATGTATCTTAAACGCTTAGCATCGGTAACAGTATTAGTAGCATGAAAACTGTACCTGAAAGGCAGAGTTTCTGGCCACCTGAAGAGGTTTCTGAAATGATTAGTTTTGGAATCAGTATCTGGTGATCCGAAACTTACCGTTTCGAGCGCCATTTCCGTTCTCCAGAAACTGCTCCTGAAACTTTGAGTTTCAGGAGCAGTTTATTGTCCACCAAAGACAATAGTTTCAGTCACAATTTCGGATGTTGCCGAAACTATTGTTTTCAGTGCGCCGGGCCGGCCGGTTATAATGAGATTCAGTCTGCAGAAGCATTCCAAAGTCATTCACTGGGTCTACTAGAAACACCGGGGGCAAAGTCCGAGGAAGGTGATTGTGATCTTCCGGGCAGGAAGGTGCACAGGAAGGTGCACCGGAAGGCACGCCGGCAGGTAGTATGGCAGCACGCAGGCAGTTGCGGCGTGGCCTGGCTATGGCAGGCTTCAAACAGAAAGCAGCCCGGTCCGCGGAGCCGCCCGGGTAGCCGCGCGCGGGCCGGAACTCGACCTTGGTGTCGTCTGTTTGAAACGTGGCTGCCGGGCGACTGCCCGCGTGCCTGCCTTTGTACTTTCCTGCGTGCCTTCCGGGCTACTTCCTCGCCGGAAGTTCACGGGCGCCTTCCACGGACTTTGCCCCCGGTGAAAGTTCTAGTTAATGCCGGGGAAGTTGTCCAAGGAGGAAATGCCATTACGCACATATCATAGTGTGGGACTCCAGCCTCCATAAGGTTATCCTATTCCATGCTTCGAATCATTCATTTTCAATGGCTGTATACCCACTAAAACCCCCTCTGTGTATGTCCAGTCATCCGGCAGCTGATCTTCATTCATTAGTAGACCACTCCATGTTCGTAGGACGAGATCTTTATTAAGTGCAAGGTTGTTGAATTTGAGTTTATTTGTAAGGATGCGATCTCGTCCAAGGGCAGAATTTATAGCCTTCAGCCATCTATTGTGAATTTCAACATCTCCTATGCTTCTGTTTGGATTCTTTAGTACTTTGTCGTTTTGGATATTCCAAATCGTGTGCCAGGAAGTAGACACTAGGATGGCAAATAGTCTGCCCATCTCAGGAATTATTTTACTGTTCAAGTGTCTGAATCTCAGGAGGTTACAGCCTAAAATTAGGCCCCAGCTAAGTGCAGGCCATTGGGAATATTTCGTACTCCACAGTTTCTCAGTCAGTTGCCAAATCAGCTTCGCTCCAGAGACATCACACTCCATCGCTATGTGCTCTAAAGTTTCAGGGACTCCGCAGGTCTTACAGGTTGCAATCACTTCCAAATTATCAATATGAATCCAGAAATCTCCGACTCGGAATATATCGTGAATAGATTTCCAGAATAGTTCGCGATGGAGTCGTCTCAAATTTGTTGAACGTATAGAGCTCCAAATCATCTCGTCGGTCGGTGTATAGTAGGATATCTCCTGTACTGAACATCTAATGCGGTCCAGATTAATGAAAGTTGATTTCCTGAATGGTTTGGGGTATGTGGACTTGATTACTTTTGTCCAAGTTCTCTGGGAGCCGGTGGAGATTAAGATCCCAGGACAATCAAACATGACATCTATCTGAGTATCAACCTCGACCGGTGGACACAATTCCAAAGATGAAGTAACCGGGAATATATGTCTTGTCTTTTTTAGATGTGTGCGTGCAGTTCGCTCATTCAATGTGGCAAAGACTGCCTTGAAAACGGGAAAGTTTGGGTCTAACATGTTGTTTTCAGACTTTGTGCGTTCTTTGATAAGTGTCTTGAGCAGAAAGTCAGAGGTTGAGCATATAAGGAGCGGGGTATTGGGAAACTTTTGCAGTAGGGTGAGCACAGCACCAAGTATTCCAGATTTGAAGTTCAGAACAATTGTTGGATTGTCAAATGTAAGGTGTACGGTTTCATCTTCTTGTATGTCAGCTGAAGTAATCTTGAATCTCGCCATAATCTGAGGATCATATTGCCCCGCCCGCAACACCTTTACATGGATAAAGGCTGTCATTATCTCGGGCGAAGGTTGTACTGGGAATTGTCGCCTTGCAGCAATCTCATTCAGTGAGTCTTCATTGTGTGCAAAAATTCGGAAGCCTTCGTTGGCGGTAAGTAGTCTGAAATTTGGGTCATACATCATTTCTTCATCGGCCTTTATCTCGTGCTGATTTGCCTGGAGCTCTTCAGCTGTTAAGTTGATATCGTTACAAAGATCGGGCACTGGGATTAATGGATTCCACTTGGGCATGATACAGTCTATCAGTGTCTTTGCGGTCTCAACACACTTGCCAGGGTTTGGACAGTCTAGCTCGTTTCTATCTCTGTTGCATGGTGGGCAGCCACAATTTTTGCGCCCAATGCCACTTGGGTTCACTGTATGAGGCCGTCGTGCAACTGTAGTTTTCCTGGTAGCAATTGTAAGTGCATCTCGCACTGTTCGCACATCATGGTTAATTCTAAGGCAGGTTGCAGCATCACGCAGGCAGGTGTTTTTGTAAGCTTCGCGACGGACAGAGGGTGCTTCCACATTGGCATATTGAGTTGCACCTCTCGATCAATTGAGAGTGCTGTAAATTTCAGATTGAAGTCATCGGCCGCAGATATCATGCGTTTCAAGTCGTCGGGTATTATATTTGACCGGGGAATGGGGAGGTGAGTGTTGTGAAGAAAAATGTTGAGTATTTGTCCGGGTCTGATGTGTAGGTAGCTGGTCTTCTCCAAGTAATTTCTCAGTATGTGGTCCACAAAGTAGCACCAGAGTGGTCTATCTTCTCCTTGCATGAGATAGCATTGGAGGTTCCAGAGGTCAATTGCTTTATTTCGGGCTGATAAGTCTAAGATTCCTTTACCCCCTTGATTCACAGGCAGAATCATTGTATCAAGTGAGACTCTGGCCTTCTTTCCATCCCACAGGAAATCTCTTATCAATTTTACGAGAGTCTCCTCAATATGCCTAGGCATTCCCTGGACTGTTGTAAGGTACTGTGTTCGACCTCCAATTACCATACTAATTATATGACACTTCCCCTCTAATGTGGGGTGAGTTGTTTGCCAACGCAGGATGTCCGCATTGATTTTCTCCAAGACAGAGGGCCACGGTGTGGTGTAATTGATTTGGTTTCCGATCCATCTCTGCTCGTTGTCCTTGCTTTCGCTTTCGTTCCACGCTGCTGTCTGGCTTTCTTTGCAGGAGCCTGCTGTGTTCCGTGTTCCTATCTGGGGCTCTATTATTTCTGGCAACAACTCACCATTTCCGTCTTTGCGACGTCGCGGATGAAGGCGTGGGAGAAATTCCGCCTCCGTAGTTGTACCGGATGCGATGCAAACGCCTTCCGTGAGCGCTCCTCCGCCTTATCTTCGTGCTTTTTGCGCCCGTCCTTGGCACATGCTTCTGCCGTTCTCTTTCTTTGAAACCCGCTCCATTATGTGCCCAAAATCGTGCCTCCACCTCCTCTGGCAATATTCTTTCGTCGGTTACGGTGTCGCTGCGTCCGCTTCTGATGAGCGCGTGGGACAAAGTCTGCCTGCTACGTTGGATGGTGTTGTCAAACACGCCTCGTCCCCTCTGCGTGTTCTCTTTGTGCTCGTTGTCGCGCAGGCACACGCCCGTCGCATTCTCTCTTTCAAATCCCGTCACATTCTACTTGGGCTTGAGGGCCATTGCATGCGCATGGCAGACCGAGTTTGGTTCTTTTTGATTTTTTTTTCCAGTGTGCGTGTCGAGGCAAAGCAATCAGAGACACCTTCCTCATATCCTTGTCATTCAGTAAGTGCCATAATGCTACCTGATGCCCATAACCTTGCTCACCCTCGCCCGAGCTGCGCTCGGCTCGAGTTCGCCAGGTAAAGACTACTGTCTGGAAGCTTGCCGGCCAGGCAAGAAACACTGAAAGGAAATCACACCAAGTCAACAAGACCACGGTGTATTCTGCGAGCGAGCCAGAGGCGAGCACGAGTAGCAACGACAAAGAGGTAAACGACAAGAGGTGACTGGAGTACGTAAGCTATGATCGGTCCGTAATCCGGGGCCAGGATTACACTGTCCAAGAAATGATTTTTCCGAGACATTAGAGCTTATTTATCGTGTTCTAAACGTTGCATAATTCGAAACGCAAAATAAAAACTTTCAGGTCCAGAATCTTTTTTTCTCAATTCTCAGATTCTCTTTCTGCTACCCTTGTACATTGTATATGACCTCTAAAGACCCATTTTCGAATGAATAGGGCAGCAAGACCGTGATGGCACCCAAACTACCGACATCGGCAGGCTTTGATCATTGCCGGGATTTGCCGGTGTCCATAAGGTTTTCAACCCACGGCCTCGAGGAGAAGCAATAGCTGTCAGTCAAAGTTCAAGCTGAATTCTGTGGTGCAGCTTGCCCTGGTAGGCTTTGCCGCATTGGGTGTTCCCTTTGTACCAATTTTTTTTTTTTTTTTACTTTAGTCGAGTATGTAACATTCTTAATGGGAACAGCGTTCTGAAGTCTGCCTCAATGGCATTGCCATCATCACCGCACATACTTAGCTGATATGTACTGTGAACATTTCCTATGAACTTTTTTCTTCTTTCCCGCTGCCGAATTTGATGGCATCAAATCATCCATCAGTACTCGACGAGCACAAGTAGTCTTCATGGTTGGGACTTGACACAATGGAACCATTGTGGTACCA